AACCACGAGCACACCCCCCCTCTCACCCATCCCCCGAAGGATGAGCGTTCCCCCCCCCGGCCCGGCCCGGCCCCTACCAGCACCCCCCTTCCCCCCCACTTTTAATTCCTCACAGTCAAACCACGAAATACAGCCACAACGCTCGTAACCGGGACGCGCACCGCAGGGCTCGCGGCGCCGAGGCCGCCGGTTCGAATCCACCTCCGTGCCAGGCAGCGGCTTGACACAACAGAAACGTGGGGGGGGGGGGGGGGGGGGGGTGGGGGGCAAGGTTTCTTAAATCCACCCCCGCCGCGCCCACGGCCTCTGTGCCCCGTAGCAGCGATGTCTTCGTCCACCGTCACCAACCTCATCCTCTCCCCCCCACAAAGACAATCAAACATCCCCCGTATAGACTGCAGGGGCAAGTGCGGCGAGCGAGCATCTATGAAGGCCAGCAACGGCACACGAAGGGGTGGGTGGCCAGCACCACGCCCGGCCGCCTTTGTCTCCCCAGTGGCGACGTTTACACACCGCACCAAGTACTTATTTGAGGCTGAGTCGACTTAGGAGAGGCCCAGGACCGGTTCAGATAATCGTCACCGGTTTTGGCCGTGAGCGGGAATCGAACTCGGGAGACAAGGTTTGTAGTGCTGCGAGCTAACCGGTACACCACACACCCATACACACACAACAACAACAACAACCGACATTCGCCACTAAGTGGCGGTGACGTCACCACGACGCTTGTGCCAGGCTATGTGCACCCTGAGGCCACGTGAAGTGTCGAACGCCCGCTGGCAGGAGGTCACGGGGCAGACCCAGGTGCCACGGGTCGACTGACTGAGATGACTGGCTGATGCACCACCTGTGCCCCCTACTGTGCCAACCTGCTGTGCTTTAGCCACCCGGCGCTCCGCTCGCTGTTGTGAGCGTCGCTCCTCCGCCCTCCGTTGTTGTTGGAGGGCGACTGCCTCCAACTGCCCAGTAGCATCCTTCACGAGCCTCCTCCACAGAGGCCGATCTTGACACCGCTGGTACCAGTCATCGGCAAGTCCACTCAGCTCCACGTCCTCCTGTACCACATCACTCCATCTCTTCTCTAGCCCGTGCCGCGCCCGCTTAGCCCCCCTCAATCCGGCCAAACAAAAGCTGTTTCGGCATGCGGTGGCTGGGCATGCGGGCTACATGACCCAGCCATCGCAGCCTTGCCTGCCGGAGGAGCTCACCGATGGGACCCTGCCCAGATCTTTCAAGGATTTGTGAGCTCCTCACACAATCCAGTCTGGTTAAACCCAGGATGGATCGTAGGCAGGCCAGCCTAAATGTTTCTAACCGGCGAAGATGTTCCATTAGGGGGGTCCACGTTTCGCAAGCGTAGAGAAGGGAGGGAATGACCGTGGCCGAGAAGACCTGAAGCTTAGTGCGGAGCGACAGACCAGGTAGCTTCCACACAGCGTTACGCAACCGATGAAAAGATATTGCCGCTCGACTGATTCGGAGTGAGACCTCTGCTGTTAAACTGGAGCCAGTCATAAGCACACTGCCCAGGTATGGGAAACTCTCCACTCTCTCCACAACTGCCCCATCACCGATTGGGAGTTGTGGGGGTGGAGTGTCCGATGGTACAAAATACCCAGGCAGGTGCTTAGTTTTGGTGGGGCTGATGGTAAGGCCCCACCTCTTAGTGGCACGCTCCAGTCTCAGCAGCAGCGTCTCCAACTCCTCCTCTGACTGAGCAGCTATTACCAAGTCATCAGCATACATAACGTGGTTGAGCAATAGGGAGCCATCCCTTGACCGCACCCGGGCATCGATTAGCCTCCCATTATATCTGTACCATATGGAGATTCCCCCGGTACAGCTATTGAAGGCTTCACGAACTACGTGGTCAAAATAGATGTTAAATAATGTGGGAGCCAGAGGACATCCCTGTCGCACCCCAAGGTGTACAGGGAATGGCTCTGACTCCCGGCCACGTAGTTTTACCCGGGCCCGCTCACCATCATGAAGGTCCTTAATGATCGTGAGCAGAGGGTCAGGTACTCCAAAAGCACGAAGAACGACCCAGAGCCCAGGCCTACTGATGGTATCATAGGCCTTGACCAGGTCAATAAAGCAGAGATGTAGGTCTTGTTGGAATTCCCTACACCTCTGCTGTAGCAGACGGACAGAAAATATGGCATCTGTGCAGGACCGCCCTTTCCTGAAACCGCATTGGGGCTCCGCAAGCCTCTCCTCAGCGTGCCTGGCAAGGCGATGCTGAATAATCCTTGCCAGGACCTTTCCCGGCACACTGAGGAGTGAGATGCCCCTGTAGTTGTTACAGTCTGTGCGGTCCCCCTTCTTAAAAAGGGGGACCACACACACACACAGACACACACACAGACACACACACACACACAGACACACGCACACACAGACACACACACACACAGACACACACATACACACACACGCACAGACACACACACAGACACACACACACTGAAATTCCGCAGCCCCTCCTGCCACGGTGGCGAGATGTTAACTTCCTCGCCTGGTATGCAGGAGGTCGTGGGTTCAGTCCCGACCCTGATGCCTGCTGTATATTTGGAGTTTGCGTGTCTGTCTCCACTTGGTCGCGAGGATTTTTCTCCGGGTCCTGCGTTCGTAGAGTATTTAGCTGCTATAGATGCCTACGTGATTATCCACTGTATTGGGCTATCATTTGTGGCCAGAGCTATGTAGCTTAGTAGGCCTTACCTGGTAAAAAAAAAATAGTTTTAATAGAATACATTCCGAATCCTACAAACCCGATGACAGCCGTGCGTCTTTTATGGTGCCACTCGTGGTAATGTCACCGATCGCAATCTCTGGTGGTGAAAGAAGCTCAAAATACACGCATGCAATCGGAAGCCACTGGAGCTTTTTTTAAACTTATATTCAAAACGTATTTTCTTTTGGAACTTTGCGTGTGTTTAGTTTGTTGTCCTTCCCCAGGCAACCCCCGAATCAGCGCGCTTGGCTTCGTCACGGCGGGACGAAAGTTCAACATGCAGCCGTGTGTACTCGCATTGTAAACCGGTGGCGCTGTACTAGTAACGCATTGGCACGTTCTGTTTGCGTGACACAACCCTACGAATTGGGTTGTGTCGGGTGGTGGCGGCGGGTTTAACGACCCAATTATATTTACGCGATCTAACCTCCCTCCCTCCCTCCCTCCCTCCCTCCCTCCCTCCCTCCCTCCCTCCCTCCCTCCCTCCCTCCCTCCCTCCCTCCCTCCCTCCCTCCCTCCCTCCCTCCCTCCCTCCCTCCCTCCCTCCCTCCCTCCCTCCCTCCCTCCCTCCCTCCCTCCCTCCCTCCCTCCCTCCCTCCCTCCCTCCCTCCCTCCTCCCTCCCTCCCTCCTCCCTCCCTCCCTCCCTCCCTCCCTCCCTCCCTCCCTCCCTCCCTCCCTCCCTCCCTCCCTCCCTCCCTCCCTCCCTCCCTCCCTCCCTCCCTCCCTCCCTCCCTCCCTCCCTCCCTCCCTCCCTCCCTCCCTCCTCCCTCCCTCCCTCCCTCCCTCCCTCCCTCCCTCCCTCCCTCCCTCCCTCCCTCCCTCCCTCCCTCCCTCCCTCCCTCCCTCCCTCCCTCCCTCCCTCCCTCCCTCCCTCCCTCCCTCCCTCCCTCCCTCCCTCCCTCCCTCCCTCCCTCCCTCCCTCCCTCCCTCCCTCCCTCCCTCCCTCCCTCCCTCCCTCCCTCCCTCCCTCCCTCCCTCCCTCCCTCCCTCCCTCCCTCCCTCCCTCCCTCCCTCCCTCCCTCCCTCCCTCCCTCCCTCCCTCCCTCCCTCCCTCCCTCCCTCCCTCCCTCCCTCCCTCCCTCCCTCCCTCCCTCCCTCCCTCCCTCCCTCCCTCCCTCCCTCCCTCCCTCCCTCCCTCCCTCCCTCCCTCCCTCCCTCCCTCCCTCCCTCCCTCCCTCCCTCCCTCCCTCCCTCCCTCCCTCCCTCCCTCCCTCCCTCCCTCCCTCCCTCCCTCCCTCCCTCCCTCCCTCCCTCCCTCCCTCCCTCCCTCCCTCCCTCCCTCCCTCCCTCCCTCCCTCCCTCCCTCCCTCCCTCCCTCCCTCCCTCCCTCCCTCCCTCCCTCCCTCCCTCCCTCCCTCCCTCCCTCCCTCCCTCCCTCCCTCCCTCCCTCCCTCCCCTCAAACAAACCTCTTATGGACAACATCCACACACACAACCGACCCACCCCCGTGGGTTCCAACCTACAACGGACAGCTTGGGACAGCACCTCGACACCTTCTGGAAGACACAGGGCCCAGGTTCAAGGAGATTGTGGCCACCTGCCGCCAGATCGTGATCGTGGCCGTGGCCACCCGCTCAGAATTGGACGACGGTCGCCCCACGTGCCACCGAACTCTCGGGCGAGTGGAAGTTGGTGGGGGGTTGGGGGGGGGCTGTACGATAAAATCGGTATCCGTTCGTGGGAGAAGTCCAATCAAGCGGGCTTTCCCACGGATGTACTCGCCCCGCCACCGCCACCGCAACGTGGAATTCCCACCAAACCGCCGGAAGGGGGTCGTGAACGGTTGAGCCGAGCGAGCTCCGCCTTCGAATGCTCACTTTGGTGCGAAGGGGGCCCGCTAAATTATGACATTGAGTGCATTACACGCCGCTTAAATGGCATTATTAATGAAGTGAGAGCGGCATTAAAACTCCTTACAACATAATCCGCGGAATTTCTATCCCTCTCTCTCTCTGCACCCCACCCCCCCCTTCCCCTCCTAAGCCCTGCGTGCGCGCGCGCGCGCGCTCACACCCACACACGAAGACAAAGATCCCGCGTGTAGTCTTAACAGACTGTTGG